CTCTCTCTCTCTCTCTCTCTCTCTCTCTCTCTCTCTCTCTCTCTCTCTCGCTGTTTCCCTCCCCCTCCCTCTCTGGTGCTAGGGATTGAACTCAGGACCTCATGCTAGGCAAATTCTCTACCACTAAGCCACACATCCAGCCCCAACTGCTTTCTTTACTCTCTCCAAAGCCAATCTCTCCCATCTCTGGGGTCCTCGGGCCTTTTCTGTATATTCTTTTCTGTGCTCTTCCATCTACCCCCAAACCCCACAACAGTTAGCTACACTCCACCCCCAGACACACCAAGGTGTTCCTGGTACCTTAATAAGAGATATGCCAATAGTATTGGCCTTCAAGTGGCCCTTGAGCTGGTCACAGATCTTGCCAATGAACTGATGGGGTACCACAAAAACCAGGATGTCAGCACCTGTTGCAGCCTGGACCACGTCTGGGACAGCCACCTGTGGGAAGAGCAGAAGCTCATGTGCCTGGACCTGGTCCCAAAGGGGACCCCTTTCAGAATATCTTCAAGCCAGTGTCAGTGGAGGGAGGGGTTTTGGGACTGAACTGGAAATATCAGAACTTCTTGTGTTCTCTGTGCCTAGCTCTCCTGGGTCACTGAGGCTTCCTAGAACACGCCTTCACACAACCACACTCTTAGTCCTTGGCTATGGGTCAGTGAAGACAGCCAAAGGCGGCCTAAGCTTGGCAGGAGGAAGAGGTCAACTAAGATTTCATCACTGTGTCTTAGGGGCCCTAACTTGGCAGCGGGATGCACCGTCTCCCTGTGGATTCCCTATCCCCCCTTTCTGGGTGAAGAGAGCACCATATGGATTTGACCAAAGACCAAAAGTCCAACGATCAGCCTTCAAATCTGCTAATAACCGGTGAATGAGTAACAAGATTAGAGTCCACGGCAGGCATGGGAAGTTGGACCCCGAGTCCAGGAGCCTGAGAACCAGCCTTTGGTTGTCACGGAGACCAACCCCCCCTTTTCCCACCTAAGCACCTCTAAAGGGTGGTACATTCAGATTCCAAAGAGTTCGAAGGAGTAATTTAGGGGCTGCATGGGGGTACTCCAGGCCTAGAGCAGCCCACCTGCTGCTCCACCAGGCCAGGTGGCGCCTAAAGTGGCCTTCTCCACTCCTCTAGGGAGGAGGCACCTCGAAGTCACTTTTGACTGTTGACTCCAGCATACCCCTTCCTGGCCTCTCTCTCTCTCTCTTTTCTCACAGCGAGTTGGAGCTCACCACATTGGGGGGCAGCTTGTGCCCCGGCAGGTATTTAACATTCTCGTGCTGTGTGTTGATGATCTCAGTTAGCTTTCTGCCCCCGATGTCTTCCTCAAAAACCCACATGGTCACCCGCGGGTCGAAGTGTGCCAGCCGGCCTGCATTGCTACCCACGATCTTGGCAATGGCTGAGCCCCTGGCGCGAGAGGAAACACAGGAAAGTGGAGTAGGGTGAGAGGGAGGAGGGGTAGCCCCTCAAGAAGCTTGTTGGCTTTTTTTTTTTTTTTTGCCTCCCGTTTCTTGTTTCACTCCGCCCACCCCACCCCCCACCCCCGGTCGCCTATGATAAATGTGCCTCCCACAACTGGCAATAGACAGAAGGTTCAGTCTACCCAGTCTTTGCTGCTGGGGAGGTTGGGCTAGCCTTCCCAACACTACACGGGCAGCTTCGCGGGCAGGGAAGGCAACAGCACTCTGCTCACCTTCCTATGGCGAACAGGTGCAGCTGCCCAGGCAGGCAGAGCCAGGAGGCTGGGCACAGTCTGTCCTGTGCACCGTAAGCACTGGCAGCAGGAGTCCAGCCAGCTCCTGAGGGCATTTCCTACCCTCTGCCTGCTTCCTGCTCACCCAGCCTCCCTCTGGGGAGCCCCTCAGCCCTCGGAGAAACCTTCCCTCCCCCCATGCCCTTCACAGAACCGCTTACCAGTTGCCGGAGCCGACAATGCAGACTTTCTTGCCTGCCATGGTGCTGCTTCTTGCTTCTCTGCCCCAGCGGGTGTGGGCTCCCGAGTATTTAACTCCACCACACGTGGGTGCAGCCAAGCTCCGCCCCTGAGGTGGCCCAGAGGCTGGCACCCAGGGACAGGGAGTCTGGCCGGGAGAAAGGGGAGTAAAGGGTACAGACAGGTGGGGAACAGGACTGAGGCTGAGGCCGGGCCAGCTTTTCCTCTCGGGCTCGCAGCTGACGGTGCTGGCCAGTTTCTTCCCTGGATTGGCCTCAGCTTAGTTCCCCACCTACGTCTTGAGTCTAGTCAAGAAACAGTCCACACTATGCCTTCAGTCTCCAGCGCTGAAATAAGCTGGGCATGGTGGTGCATGTCTTTAATTCCAGCACTTGGGAAGCAGAGACAAGAGGGTCTTGATGAGTTCGAGGCCAGAGTGAGACTCTGTCTCCAAAAAAAAAAAAAAAAGGCACTAGCATCAGTGACAAGCGTGGGGACATTTTCAAAGGCAGACACCTCATCGCTTTTGCTAGCACGTGCCTCCCCCAGATCCTCAGCTGTTCCAGTTTTGTTCGCTAGCACTCGCTCCAGTGATGGTAGCTCCACCAGAGACTCTGGGTGAGAGGCTCAAGGGATGTGAATGCCTTTTAGGGATAATACCACATACAAGGTAAAGGGCTGCTTGGGTGTATCCCCAACCAAGGATAAAATATCCAGGGAGAAACTGGACATAGTGGTGCACGCCTTTAATCGAAGCACTTGGGAGGTAGAGGTAGGTGGATCTCTGTGAGTTTGAGGCCAGCCTGGTCTACAGAGTGAGTTCCAGGACAGTGGGGGTTACACAAAGAGACCCTGTCTTGGAAAACCAAAAAGAACAAGGCCATCTTGGTTACTCACAGGTCAGGGACTCAGTAAGCCCTGACCTCAGATAATCCCCATTTGAAGGTCTCTGGAAGGAAGGAAGGAAGAAAGGAAGGAAGGAAGGAAGGAAGGAAGGAAGGAAGGAAGGAAGGAAGGAAGGACAGAAGGAAGGTAGGTCAAAGGTAAAGGCCACTGATGCCACGTGGCCCACAGTCCTTCCAAGCTTCAGGAAGGGCAGAAGGTGGTGGCCAGCACATGGTCCTGGAAAAGCTTGATCTTCCTTCAATTTCTTCTCTCAGGCTCTGCCTATCCTACAGGGACCCTTAAGTTAAATAGCTAGTTTATAGGCACTAGACAGGCGGGGAAGAGAAACCAGTTACAGCAGCAGCTTCTAAACTCAAGGGTAGCCATGTCTCTGGAGCTTTGTGGTCTCTGATGAGCGTGTATTACTTTGGGGGAGGGGGAGAATGGCAGGCCCATATCCAGCAGTTTGGGCTGCAAGGCATCCAGGGACATCTGTTTGAGAGGAGGAGCTTGGGTTTGCAAGCCACTCTGGAAAGCGCAGCGTGAGCTCCTCGCTCTCCAGTGCTGCACCTTGACCCACAGGGCAGACATCAGCCACTGTATGCTCATGTGCAGACCTCCTGGCTTTGGCACACCGCTAATGGCGTGTTGTCATCCCCCAGGCTAGCACTGGCCAATAACAGTAATCAGCACTAGGGTAGAGGGGAGTGCCGCCAGTGGGAAGGAAAAGTGGGTAGGAGGTCAAGACTGGAAGCATTTTTTTTTTTTTTCCAGATTGGAGATTACACAGAGGCAGCCTATCGTGGTCACAGAGCCAGGCAGTCTTTATGATGGGGACAAACGCAAAATCAATCAGTAGATGTCTTTTTCTTCTATCAGATTCTGGCTAATGCGGAGCTAGCCTCCCACAGACCACTCCTTTATCACACTGGCACTACGATGAGGGTTCTAGTGCCAGGCTGCCAGCTGGGAGCACTGATTACAAGGGGTGGAGAAGAAAGGACGTTCCTGTCCCTGGCACATATCATAGGAACCCTAAAGAATGGGCATTTATGCCTGAAATGGATGCCTTGTTTTTGCCTAAATACCCCCGTCTCTTTTTGCCCCTCCATCCTAGTAGGTTGTGTAGAGAGACAAAGCACGTGGCCAACACAGGAATAAAGGGAATGCTCGTTACAGGAAGTTGTCTGTACCACCAGAGCTTCTCCAGGAGCAAGCTGTATGCTATCTGCTTGGAACTGATGACTCATCAGCCTCTCATTACACGTGCAATTAGCCTGGGTAAAAACAGATGCCAGCTCAGTGCCTCGATACCCGCTTGCTTTCTCTGTTCCCAGTTATTACAACTCTTTTTTACCCCCGCAACTCAGAGAAACCAGTATGTTCTAGATTGGCAGCAGACAACACTGCTTAGCAGACACCCAGCTACTCGATGGGTAAGATTTTATTTTTTGTGAAATAGGGTCTTTGTAATCTCGGCTGGTCTGGAACTCAGAGACCCTCCTGCCTCTGCCTCCCTAGCGCTGAGATTAAAGGCACGTGTCAATGCGCTGCATGAATGGGTAAGATTTTTAGCTGTGACTGCAGGATATGGTAGTTTATCCAATGTTCCACATCTTCCTGGACAGGGGTGCAGTAGGAAGTTGTGAGCCCCCAGTGGAAGCAGGGAGAACCACATGCATTTCATGCTTTTTCCAAGGGGAATCATGTCAGCAGCCAGCTAGGCAGCCCTATCTACTCAACACAGGACTAAAGCAGCCATTCCACACTGAGTTGAAGAACAGACTTCTTACACTAGCACTGTAATGACACACATAGTGAGTTTAAGGTCAGCCTTTGGTTACATACAGAGACCCTCATCACAGGAATGTAACAGAAAGAAATCCCTGGTATCTTAGGGCTGTACGTGGAACCTCAAAAAGGACGAGATCAGTCCATCTGGTGGGATTATATGGAAAACAGATACCTGCTGTCACCAGGGCCTTGGCAACAGCTGGATGGACATGTACCCCAGAGAGAGCAGAGCCTAGTTTCAACAACCTCAAGGGACCACAGATGCCAAGGACAGCTTGTTCCAGCCAGCAAGTGACCTAGAGATTTCAAGGACAAGGGAGACACCAGCAATGTCACTGCCTTGTCTGATCCTGATGGAGGTGGGAGCAACTATCCCAAGAGCATTGCTGAGGTCACAAACCTCTGGTAAGACCCAGAGTCCTCAGGGAAAAGACTCATTTCCCCAGACCCCAGAGCGTGGCACAACTGGCAAACATCAGTGTTCAAGAAACACTTGTCAAGTAAGAGGGCGCTGGGCAGGGAAGATGCCACTACAATAGCGACCCCCCCGCCCCCACCCCAGACAGCAGGGACCCACAGCAACCCCACAGACAGTGGGGACCCGCTCTTCAGAAGTCTTTTATTAAAACTGGGTGACATCAGTAAGGAGACAGTACAAAAAAAATTTTGGTCCATGAAAAAAAACAAAACAAAACACAATTCAGTTAATAAAAACAGTTATCAACAGGACACTGTGGGAGTGCTGAGTTTCCTCATCATGCTTCCAGCCAGAAGCCAGGCTGGGGCTCAGCTGCCCCAGGGTTGTCCAGTGTCACTGTGGGGAGGACTTTCCAAGGGGAGGGGTGGATACAGGACATGGGGAGGACAGGGAGAAGACTGCTGTCCCCAGTACAGAACAGGCAGGGAAGGGTGCACAACACTGCTCGCAGGAGCCTGAGGTGGGGGTGGGGAAGCAGGGGCTTTGTCAGTTCTGTGGGTTCAGAGCCCATGCTCAACGGAATACCCCTGTGCCCAGCTGTCTCCCACCCTGCAGTGTTGTCTGCGAGCCTGGGACATGCTAACTCCTGGTGACAAAACCTGGAAGAATCTGAGGCGTCCCTGGAAGATGCAAGACCATCTGTCCTAAGGGGCCGAGATCACACGTCCTGCTGCTACCTGAGGGGTCTGAAGCTTTGAGGGCGGGGGTGGGGAGTCACAAACCCATTCAGACCTATTCTCCAGCCCTAGGCGCTTTTTACTCCTCAGTGCCCTAGAAGCCACCAGTGGGTTCAACTGGGCAGACATGGGACAGGAAGACAGGGACGGCCTAGGGCTTTACCCGTTTGATTTCAGGCCTGTTTCTCCATTTACGGGAGGGGGCAGGGTGGAGTGAATGAACAAGCCACTTCTCTAACAGCAGGAAGGAACAGTCTCTGCTGGGAATGACAAGGAAAGGCAAGATCCCACCCTAAACACCATGGGCTAGGGCAGGGGTGGGGGAGTCCTATCCCGGGCAGCTACGCGAGTGTGTGGGGGAGCAACAGTTCAAACACACTCCAATACTGACACGAACCCCACTAAGGGGTCAGACAGCACTGAGACAGCAGGTTAAGTCCAGAGGGCAGGGACCAACCTGGGGCTCAGTGAAGCCCAAGAACCTGGGCTCCTTTAGTGCTAGAGGGCAAGAAGTAAAGAAGAATCTGCTCCAACCTGTGGAGGAAAGGGAAGAAGTCAGGTTACCAGGAGGCCAAGGTCAGCTAGCTTACAGCCTGCCCTAGGCCTGAGGCTCAGAGGGGGACGGCTCCCAAGGCCTGGGTCTCCTGGCAAGGCAGGATCAGTGTAGCTGGTCTCCCTGAAGACCATCGGACCTCAGGAGGCCCCACCACTTCAGAGCACTCATTACCACTATGGTTCTCTAACACTATCTAGAGGTCCTATGTAGGATAGGGAGGTAGAGGCACATGGGAGCTTGGTGGGAGGAGCTGAGGTGGGAGGCTGGGGTGCAGGAAAGGATAACAGGTGACTGTGAGACAGAAATGTGACACCCTCTTCATTGTGACACTGTCCTGGAGCCAACAGCATCTCCTGGAATGCCTCAAGCAAGACCAAGACAGGTACACTGAGGCAGACAGCACAGGGCCCAAGGAATCGGTGCAGCCACGCTAGGGCCGGAGAGGCCCTATGTGTTTCGGATTCCCAGGGCTTGCTCTAACTCTTGCCGCCTCTGCTGCACCTGCAGAGAAAACAGGGATGCAAGCTCGAGACACCAAAGGCTGGCAGCCAACACCACTGATCCTGCCTGTGTCACTTCCCTTGTGTGCCTCAGGCACAGCACTAACCTTGGAGTAGAAGTATCGGCACACAGCCTCCTGAGCCCAGGGCTGGAAGTAGAACTCAGCACGGCGCTCCTCTTCTGGGTTACCCACCACATCAGTCATCGTCTGAGGGAGAA